GCTGCTCCGGCTGCTGCTGCTGCTGCTGTGTGTGTGGGTGTGTGTGTGTGTGTGTGTGTGCGTGTGCGTGTGTGTGTGCTTGTTGCTGGAAAATGCAAGCTTGTATTTACCTGTGGAGGCCAGAGATCAGACTTGAGTGTCTTCTTCAACACTGTCTACCTTATGTTTTCAGACAGGTCTCTCACTGAACCTGGACCTCGCAGCTCAGGCTAGGTTGGCCGGCCAGTGAGCTCTGCATACCTGTCTCAGCCCCATGTGATATGCTAAGGTTACAGATGTTCATAGCAACACCCAGCTTTTTACCTGGGTTCTGGGGATCTGAACTCAGATTCTTGTGGTTTCACAGCAAGCACTTTATCTACTGAGGCATCCCCCTAACCTTTTGCTGTATTTTTTTTTTTTTTTTTAAAAAAAAGGGCATTTTTAGCTTCATGGCCTTGTTCGTGGCTATTTATTTTCTAGGTCTTTCCATTTCATTTTTAACTTCAGGGAACGAGCAGAGAATGCAGCAGCAAAAGAAACTTTATCTTGAGAGAGACATGGCCCTCACGAAGCATACACTTAATCATGTCTGTCTGCTTCTGAAGACAATTAGAAAGTCCTGACATTGGCTCAGAACAAAACTGCTCTCCAAAAGAGTACCATCAAGAAATATTCATGTTCATTAAAAGGAAATACATTTATTTAATGCCATACTATATTCCGGAGATAATTTTTAAAATAATTTTATATAAGTAATTACAAGATTATTTTAAGGAAACTTGTGTATGTGTCAATTTGGGGAGAGATCTTTATATTTCATAGACCTTTATCACCCTTTCATTTATGAAAACCAGACTGGAAAAATGATGAGTCTAAATTATCAGGAGAGCTCTGTCTCTTAAAAATAGTCCAACTTTCCCATTCGGTTACTCCTGGGTTTCCTCAAACGGGACAAAGAACATGCTGTTCCAACCCACATACTGCTCCAAAAGGGGACTGGATGCCTCTGAACTCTGATCCCAGGCCTAGAAAAAGAGTGCTACAGTGTCAAATATTACTGCACTGACGTATTGGAGCAGAGAAATGGTTAGAAACTTGTGGGAAGAATCAAGAAAGGAACAGCCATTCCTCAGAGGGGCATTTTCCTAAGGGAAACAAAAACAAATATTTAAAGAAAGTTCTCATCTGAAAACTATTTCCTTTGTATCTTTGAAGAAGAACCATCTTTTAAAAGCTCACATGTATTTAAATTTCTTAGTAGTATATTTAATTAGAGTTATATATACTTCATACTCTGCAATTATTTCTGCTATATAGAGTTCATTAACAATATTTCATTTTTTCTTCAGCTTTCTATTCATTACTGTTTACCACTATTTATTTATTTCATGTGGATCTGTGTAGATGTAGATATGTAGGTGTGTGTGGAGGTTGGAGGACAGCTTGTGACAGTCACTTCTCTCATTTCATCACTTGGGTCCCGGGAGATCTGACCTGATCGATCGTCAGGCTTGCTGGTAAGCACCTTTACCTGCAGAGCCCTTTTTTAGGCCCCTCTTTGATTTTCTAATGATGTGAAACATGAATATGAAGGTGATTTAAATCTGCCATCCTCAGGGAGAGGAAATCCTGCATAAAAGAGGTTTGTGGCTGGTACATTTAACCAGACCTTCTAGAACAGTTAAATGTCAATATTTTTTTCCTTCTCTTTATCACTTTTTAAAAACCTTTATTTTTATTTTATGTGTATGAGTGTTATGTCTGATGCATGTAAATACAACCATGTCATGCAATGCCTGTGGAGGCCAGATCCCCTGGAACTGGAGTAACAGATGGTTGTTAGCCACCATGTGAGTACTGGGAATTGAACCTGGGTCCTCTGCAAGAGCAGTCAACACTCTTAACTGCTGAGCCATCTTACCAGCCCCCTCTTCTTTATTATTTTTAAGGTACCAAAAACATGATAATGACTGAGTAGATGTAGCTATGACTCACTGGGTGAAAAGACCAGTGAAGGATTCAGGATTGTGGTTTGAACTCGAGCCTCAGGCATCTGATCTTGGCTCTGAGGTTAATAGTTCAATATATGCACCTGAATGTCAGAGATGAAACTCAGTGTCAAGAGGAAGCTGTGTGTCATTTCTCTTCTGAGAATATACATCGTACTGAAGGAAGTGGAAACAGATTTTTCATTTACAGTAAAAGAATATTTACAGAGAGGGAAAAGGGCAGAAGAGTCTGGGGTATGGCCAGTCCTGACAGAATGCAGAAATAAGTTTTCCACAAATGCTAACCCAATCTATTATCATATTGAAAATATAGGAAATGGGGGCTGGGGAGATGGTTCAATGTCAAGAGCACTGGCTGCTCTTGCAGAGGACCTGGGTTCAGTTCCCAGCACCCATATGGTGGCTAACAACCATCCATGACTCCAGATCCAGGGGATCTGATGCCCCTGTTCTAGCCTCTGTGTGCATTGCACACACATTATGCACTTACATACATGTAGGCAAAACATACATATATATAAAGTAAAAATAAACAAATCGAAAAATTAATGATTTTTTTTTTTAAAAAAAGAAAATATAGGAAATATCTCCCTGGCTCTAGTTTTCCAAGAGTTTTACATAACAAGTTAAGCAATTGATTCGTAATGCTTTACAAACATAACTGACATTAAACAGATGTGCCATAAACCAAAGGTAAAACAAAACCATCTCAGCATTATCTTCCATTTTTAAGATACCTGCACTGCTCTTTCCCAACACAGATAATCCAAAGTCGCCTAAAGATCTTTTCTTTTCCCTTATTTAAGTGTGGTTCTCATAAAAATCATTCTCATGAAAATGCAAACTTAAAATGATATCATGGAAATGCAACATCAAATCACATGAAAATTAATTTGGAGGCAAATCTGAGGTTGTTGGCAGGTGGTTATGTTAAATTAATGTGACTGTGTACATATTTTATAATAGCGAACACAAGGAAGAAAAGCAGGAGGAGGGATGAGAAGGGGGGATGAGGGGAGGGGAGAGAGAAGAAGAGTAGACAGTGACAGAGCTTATTGTAACTGCTTATAAAGTGTCATACGCTGGTCAAAATCAATCAAGGGTTTTCAACCTCAGCACTGTCGACGTTTCAGATTGTCCTGTGCAATGCAGGATGTTGCTAAACCTCCCGGACTTCTACCTATTAGATGTCAGTAGCATGCCCTAGTTGTGACAACCAAAAAAATACCTCCAGACAATACCAAATATCTTCTGGGAGACGGAGAGTGGGGCACCTTCCAAAAACACATAGAAGACTTCACACAATAAAAGCTTCACATTTGTCCTAGGAAACAGATGGCATCAGTTCCCCCTCAACCTGCTCCATCTCTCAAACACTGAAATGCTCAGAGGATTATTAAAACGTTGAACTCATCCAGCTAGTGAGTGATGTTCACTAGCCAAATCCCAATATGTCTGGCTCAAGGCTGCGTTCAACAGAAACAGCATTGGAGTATGTGGAGATCCACACCTCAGAGCGTGGAAAGAACTTCCAGCTTCTCTGAATTACTTAGAGAATGAGAAACCAGAGAAAATATCTAGGAGATATGAGGAATTATTCTTCCATTTATCATGCTTAGTAATAGCAGGCTTGGTGGAGACTTACGGTCCACTGGAATTTGTTTGTATTTCTGGCTGTCTCGCACCACACTGCCTCCACTGTCGCTGGAGCTGCTGTTCTGACGGGTGACGTTTGCTGGAAACTTGGACACAGGGACGGGTGCTGGTGCAGAAGGTGGAAGGGGGACAGGAACAGGCGCTGGTGTTGGAGGAGGTGATGGGGCAGAAGGAGTATCAGTTGGTCTTGGACCATACTCCATCCTCTGTTTCTAGAAAAGGACAAATAACTTGAAATGTGTATATATATATATATATATGTATGTATATGAATCTAGGCTAGGAAAGTGAATTTCACATTCACATGGCATCACTGAATATTTATTTGTAAACTTTCTTCTGTAAGTACATATCAATTGGGGGCATGTATAGGTGTACATGTGCACACTTTTAATCCAGTATGACAAGATAATCACTGAAGTCATTTTCAAAACATTCTACATATCTGTTCAAAGCTAACACATGAGTTAAAGAATGGTAAAGACAAACCAAGAACAAATAATAACAATAAAAGTCAAGAAAACTATGATTAGACTTGGAATCACACAAGATTAGGGTAGAATAAAAACTGATTATTCTACAATTTAAGCTAATAATAATTTCTAATGGCATTGCAAGATAATAGCATTGCAAGATAATAGCATTGAGCATCACTCCATTTTTAAAATGCATGTTGCACTCAAATATTTCCAATTCTGTTGTTTACAAAGAGTTTGTTACGGAATGACGAATAATTTTAGTAAATAAAAGGATGATGCTTGTAAAATAAGCAAATAACTTTAAATTGTTACTATCAGCTTTTTTCTTTTTTCTTTTTGTCTTTTTGAGACAGGATCTCCCTGTAGCTCCAGCTGTCCTGGAACTCACTATGTAGACCAGGCTGGCCTTGAACTCACAAGGCAGTGCCTCTGCCTCCCGAGCGCTGGGATTAAAGACATGCGCCACCACGCCTGGCTACTATCAGCTTTTTCAAGGCACAACCTTTTCTGCCACTATGTTATTGCTAATTTATTTGCATTGTAAATTTTCTTTGTTAAAAATGGGAATATTGTGGATTGGATGCCTTTAAGGATAAAGATATAATCAAGTCATTCAGACTGGGGATGTGGATCATTTACCTAACATGCACAAAGCTCTGGTTCCACCCACTACCCACCAAAAGAAAAGGAGGAGAAATAAGGAGGAGGAGGAAGAGGAGGAGGAAGAGAAGGAAAAAGAGGAGGAGGAGGAGGAATTCAAAGAGAAGGGAGAGAAAGAGGAGAAAAAAGGCATGTGGGCAGTGAGTTGTATTTACAAATTAAGATGTGATATAACGTACAAAATGATCAGGCTGTGATAAAACAGTATCTATGTATATGTATATTATTTAAACACACAGTATTTAAAACTTAAAAATAAGACAATATATTGAACAGATAACTGCATTGTAAGGGGCTCCAAATTCTCAAAAGGCACCTCTTTGAGGAATCAAAACGCAGTAATCAATGAGTTGTGATTGAGATAAAGTTTAAACACAGCACTAACACAATTTTAATTAAAATTTAGGGTCAGCAGATAAAATGCAAATATACCTTTTGGAAATCTGGCCCTTTTATTAGAACAATATTTACTTTTCACTTCTGAATTGGCCCAAATATAAGACAACCTTGATTTTTAAGAGACCCTTCCTGGATTTCCACAGAGATCAAAACCACCACACCACACATGTTATTTTTAAATTAAATTGTCACTCAAAAAACAACACACCAATCTTTATCAAGGTGCCTTCACAGCAAATGACTAGTGTCTGTGGAAAGCTGTGTGGGAAGGGGCACTCTGTGTTTGCTGCTGTTTCTCAAAGGCTATGAGTCACCTACCAGTGGGCTGGAGAGGATGGAAGGGTAAGATACAGGGATGGACAGAGGACTAAAAGACGGGCATACAGTGTTCCTAGATGGTGTGGGGCAGGGAGGAAGGAAGAGAGGGAAAAATGGATGGGTTAAGAGTCTGTCACAAAGTTAGGGGTAAGAAGAACATTGTGGCATCCAGGTCTAGAAAAACTTCTAATATACTCAGTTAAAAAAAAAAAATCAGAATGTATTGTCAGGTCCTCATACCCCCACAAGATATTCCTCTTATATTTGGGCCAAAAAATATTTAAAGCAATCAAAACATAGCAAACATCACCAAAATGTAATACTTAGCACACACCAAAATAATATATATGCAACATTCCCTAGGCAAGAATCCCTTTGTATTTAATTTCATGAAGGGTTAATGAATTCTCACATTGATTGATGTTTCATAAATGTCAGAATTTAAATGATTGTTTTTAGAGCTTATACCAACAAAAACTGCTATGTGCTCTAAATCCCACGATATGATTTATACTTTCTGCTTTCATGAAAACAAGAGCAGCTAGTGTTTTTTTCTATCCATCAAATAATAAAGTGAGAAACTCAATACACTATGTAATAGCATCATGGTGGAGCCTGAAGACAGACTCACCAAGTACTCGGTCTTCAGTTCGGTCATCCATTACTACCATACAACGCAAGAGTATCAACTGACCTCACACAGCAGGTTTAAAGAATTAAACCGATGTGACATTTTCCAAAGCCATATGAAGCACATTTTCATAAATAATACCATAAATTATATTTACTTGCATATTTTCCTTTCTCCCTAAGCCCTCTCTTTCTGACTCAGTTCCAACCTCTGACAAGCAGAGGACTGGATGCTCTGAATTAGCGTAGCCCATTCTGAAGTGTCATTCAGAGTCAATACCAATTGTTCAAATCTCTGTTGTGTGTCCCTTCCCATATTTCCTGATCCCCTTTACCTATGACCCAGCTCCCACTCTTTTTTTCATACTCCTGCCTCTAGGCTTTTTCTGGTTGAGGCACAAACCCCCATACACCTCAAGCTATAAAAAGCAGGAATGCATCTGGAGCCTTTTCCTCCTGCACCCACAATGCTAATGCTCCACTTCTTGAATGTGAAACCCTGGCCAGGACCTTCCCAAGGAATTACCAGAGAAAGTCCCACATTCCGCTAAACCCCTCCATGCAGGGCACAGTGAGCAGATTGATCACCTGGTTTGGATTCACTTTTGCATGATACTGTCACTTCCTAAGTCAAATCCACAATCTCTCACAAATGTAAACCTCCACTGAAAGGAAACAAAGTATCTCTGTGTCTTTCTCTGAAAGAAGTCAGAATGACTAGACCTCATAGGAAACGTACTTTCCTACTGATAATTAAGATGGAAGTGAGTCACTTTTCTTTAGTAACCAAAACTGAGTAAAATTTCTCAGGCAGTAAGGAAAGTTATTGAGGGATGAGTTTCTGATTTCTGATTCATACCAGATCCTGCTTCAGAGGGGAAATTATGCAAGTAAGTTCAACAAAGGTACTGACATAGAACTGTTCTTAAATCTTTACCCTGTTTTGAATTACACCATTTTTTCCCCTTTAAATTTGGTCTCTCTGAAACTTTGCAATGAAAACCATCCAGCTGGAGTATTTGGAGGGTGTTAAGTCCACAGACTGAATCCAAAATATTACAGGAAGAACTGCCAGGAGGGAACGTATGTGGGTTACCTCTGACAGCTCGCCAAGTAATTGCTATTAGGAAAGGGAGCAAATCACATTAAATGAGAAAATTAGCATAGGGGTGTAACTAAAAGAATATCAATTATAATTTACATCAAATGTCAGAAAACACAAGCAAAGTGGGTTTTTACAGTAAAATTACCTGCCCACAAGTCCACCAGTGAAGGAGTTTGTAAATATATATAATTAATTTCCATCATGCTTACTTGTCTTCCAGCTCAATGTACAGGATAAACAACAGAGTCAGACCATTTCAGTAACAAATACTTGAACATAGAAGCATTATGTTAAGAATGAAAGATGGGTTCATTTTATCCACAGAGTTGATAAAAGAATACACCTGGGGCAAGTATACAGAGACAGAGAAACAGTGGTTCCAGGAGTGGGGTGGTAGGTGCAGAAAATGGGAAGAGGAAGATCACATGATACAAGTCAGAAGATATGTAGGGTGAATAAGTAGAAAAATCTAATGTAGAGCATGAGGGCTAGAGTTTATTGATGGTTCAGGATTCTGCCACGTGACTGTTCTTGCCACATGGTCAAGAGTGGTAGCTATGTGAGTTGATGAACAGTGCTCATTGGTTTTCTACTGTAACCATTTTACTATACTGTATGCACACTCAATATCATTTGTATACCCAAAATGTATACAATAAATGGATTTATTTAAAAATAGATAGCCATCCTTGTTTAAAAGCTCTCTCTAAAGAGCAGGATTTTCTGGGAGCAATTTCAAACAACTTCTAAGCATTGCATATAAACAGGAAGATGTCTTGGCTGAAGGCCATGAAGGTGATGTTAGTAAGATGTTTATTCTCTTTCCACCAGTATCTTAACATCTGGATTGAACTTAAACAAAGAATTAATGACTTGGGCTGAAATGAGAAGAGTTGGTGGTTTAATAGTCAACTCCAGAAAATGCTTCCACTTTAATTTAGGGCTATTTAAGCATGTACATGAGGATGAGAGAATTCTACATCTACACTGGGTTGGAGCAGTCTTACAGCCTGGCACAGTTCCCAGCTAAGCAAACTGGAACCAAGAAAAAGGAAAGGTCACACACCTAGCTAGCGACAGAACCAGGCCAAGACCCTTCATCAACCAATACAGATTAGGGTTTCCCCATGATGCCACAATAGCCAGGAAATATAGACGATGGTATAAGTGGCCTGGCAGAAATGAAGACATTCTAAAGAGACCTTTGTACCTCTCAACCTGACGTCAGAACATTGAAATTATGGGCCCCAAAGAAATGGGGATTTCCCTAGGAATCTAGGGTGATGGGCAGGACCACACCCTGACCAGAACTGCTTAGATGTACAAATCCTTGGCCCTCTATGTAAACTTTAATCTCATTTCAAGACCCCTGAGATGGACTTGGGGGATTCAATGAATTTTTGTGTCCCTCTTCCCAATGTGGCCAGACTGAATGCCCTTTTTTCTACTTTCCAGTGCTAATTTGGCCCTTTTGGCTTATTTATAAGGGGTAGCTGAACCTGGCTTGGGGCACAATCTGTGACCACCAAGTTCTGTATCAATAGGGTGGTGCTGGATGCATGAGACTTGATAATGGTTATGTCTTGGTGGCATAAGAGAAACTATAAAAATAATAAACAAG